GAGCCAAATCATCACTTTAAAGATCATTTTTTTTTCCTTTTGGTCACTTCGTAGATAAGCCTTGATGTGATATAATTCATGATAATCTCCTTCATGTTCATATACTCCAATGTCACAATGAGATAGTTATAAGACTCAAGAAGGCTCATGAGCAATGTCAACACAATGTCCTTATTATCAACTAGCTTGTCAACATTTATAAGTTGGTTTGCAAGTGCTTTTATCTTATTGATATGAGCCATGAGGTCATCTTCTTCTTCCATCGTTATTGTTAAGAATTTCTTCCTTATCCATAGAATGTCAACAAGGTTTCTACTCTCATAGATATTGTAAAGAGTTTCTCATACTTTTACTAATCCAATACTAGCAAATACATGTAAAAAGTTGACATCATCCAAATTTGATGCAATCATACCAAAAGCCTTCCTTTTACAATGTTTATACTCCTTCTTCATCTCGAAATCAGTATCATCACTTTGAGGCTCTTCACTTTCATCTATAATATCCAAAAGGTCCAATGAAGCTAACCAAAGTTTGATTTTCTTCTTCCAATGGTAGAAGTTGTCACTCCTTAACTTCTCAATCACTCTCAAACCTTCACCCTGACTTGAAGTTATATCTAAAAAGGAGGTGTATTAAAGAAAATCAAAAAAAAAAAAAAAAAAAAAAAAAAATCTCAAAATTAACAAGGTATTGCTACCTTAGAAACTCAAAATGTCTTCTTTGTAGATAAATAAGTGATTTCACTCTTTAATCACTCTCAAATTTACTTATAAGACTTCTCACAAGTCTTATACTTTATAAAAAAACCTCTTGTATAAGCTTTGCTATTCCACAATCATCCTTCTTCTCTCATGCTATACTTCTAATGTTTTAAAATACTTCTTATTACTATACGAAGATCTTAAGGAAAGTTTGTCATATAAAACTACAATGTTAGATTACAAATGATATAAATCAAGAAAAAAATATAATATTAGTATTCAAAAACATCATTCTAAGGTATCTAACAAACTCAAAGATTATCAATACATTTAATAATAAGTAGGAATAAAATTATATCAATAATTAGATCCAACAATGGAATAAGATGATACCAAAGTTTAATATCAGCAACAAACAAATACTTGTAGGTAGTGGTTGCTACCCTAGAAGATAACTTCTACACACATGGTTCTAGGATCCTTTGGCATTTAACTTCCTTCAAGAGTATCCTATGGTCTTATGATTCTTTGGCATCTTATGTCAAAGACAAGAATATGATAAAGAATAATAAACAAGTGAGACTTCTCTCAAAGAAAGATGACAAAATAGAAATAATTTGATATATATATTAAGAAAGAAACTAGAATAGCTATTGCCAAAAGCCAAGAAAATTAAAGATCCTTGAAATTAGAGTGAAAGCAAGAAAAGAGTTGACAAGAGTGAAGAAGGCTCTATTCTTGTCTCTATATATACTATCTCACTAGGGGCTATATGGCGACATTTTATAGGACCTCCAATATGTGTTGACTTTGTAAGACACATGCATTGACTTACAAGGCAAGTTTTTCTACGTGTGGGCCACATAATTAGCTTGGTCTTCAAGCTAACAATATGTGTGGCACATGGCCAACTTGTTGACCATGTTCCTAATTCTAAAAAGTCAATTAAAGATACCTAAAAAGTCAAAGCAGTGTTTATGAAGCTTCTAAGAAGCTTTCATATCAAATATTATAGAATTAACTTACTCTTACCTACTTTTACTTACTTCTACCTATTTATATATGTAATTACTGGCTTACATGCATATGTCCGTGACATCTTACTAACTACAAGGATATCATATGCCAAATACTAATTACTCTTATCTACTCTTTGAATATTTTCTAGTTCATACTTTATCCTCTTGACTTGGATTCTTGGTCCTTGACTTAATCCTATATCCATACAATGCTCTTTTTAACCACCAAGAGTCAATTCTTTGACCATTAGTAGATTACTTAAGGTAATATCTTTTATAAGGTACCTTATTTTATTTTCACTTTTATTTACTTACTTTAACAGATAATAACTAAGAGCATGTGAAACATTGTAGAAGAAATTTTATAAGACATGACAATTAAATATTTATATTTTTCATTAATAGCTTGTAATTTGAGTCTTTAATCTATTTATTTAAGCTCTAATATTTTTTTAAAAAAAATTGACCTCTTTAATGCTACCAAAGTTCAAAATATATATAAATATTTCTTACACTTTGATTCTCAAATGATTTATGGAAAAAAAGAGACATAATTTTAAATTATGAATTAAATTAAGAAAATACAAGATTAAAGAATCAAAAAATAAAAGAAAAAATATGACTTATCTAATAAATTATAGTTGCTACAAAAACTCCAAGGACACCATTATATATAGAAAAAAAAAAACTTACTGCTAAGCTTTACATTTTAGATATTGTAGTTTCTTTCTCAATTACAATATATATTAATCAAGATTGTAATATATCTAAGATGAACATAACATGTTGTTGTAATATAATACAATTATATGATAAAAATATAATAAAAAATAAATTTCTAATTAATAACTAATTATCTTGTTTCAATAAAAATTCAAGATATTTAAATGTGGCTTTTATAAAAGCCTCTTATTTTATTTTCTTGTCTTAATAGTTAGTAGGTTAAAGGTTGGTTATTAATTTTATCTTCTAGGTAGTAGAGACTCTTTTAGTGCCTTAAAAAGACCATAAATTAGTAAAATCAGATTAGAAGAAGTAAATAATTAGCATGGTTGATACTAGGGTTAAGTTCAAGGTAGGATAGGTTGGTTTGATACTCGGAGGTCAACTATTGGTGAAATAGGATCAAAATCAGATCTTTAGCTACTAAAACAACAACCTAGGGCAAAATAAGGTTTTATTTGAAGATCAAAGATTAGAATTCAAGAGTTAGCTTAGAACTTATTTTAGAGACATAAGACTTATTTTTATAGGATTTATTTGGACTTCGAAATTGTTGTTCAAAGTTAGGGTTTTTCTGGATAACTTGGGATTTATGTAATACAATTAGAGTAGTATTCTTGGCTAGTTTGTGAGATTGGTGTTACATCTACGATTTAAAATTTGATAGTGCTTAATTAATTAGGTGTGCTAAGTGTGTATGAAAGTTTGTAAAAATCTAATAGCACAACTAGAAGATACTTGGGTTTTGGTACAAGAAGATGTCGAAAGTTGGTAGTTTGGCATTGGCTAGTGTTTCTATGATATCTAAAGATCTTCTATTTGGATCAAGGTGAAATTTGGCATGGTATTAGAAGACTTGAAGATCAAGCTAAACACTAAATTTGAATTGAAGTTAATAGTTAGAAAAGGAGAAATCACTATTGGAGTGTTTGCATCAACTTTCAAGTTGACTACAAAGTAACATTAGTGTGGTTTTGAGGTATTTTCTCATGATTTATAAGTTGGATTGAAGTGAATTCTTTTCGAGCATATAAAAGATTTATAGTGGTATTTGTATACAAAATTTTGTTCTAAGTAGATGGTTAGATTAAGAGCTACAACTTGCTAAAGCTTGCTGATTAGGGTTAAGGTTGCAAAGAAAATTTAAAATTATATAATTATGAAAGTATCAAGGTAATTAGAATTTATGTATAGTTGAAATTACTATAAAGAATATTTTTGAGCACTTTACATTGAATTTAAGCACTTTTGAATTAAAATTCAAATTGCATTCTTCTTATAAGACTGAAATATATTTAGATTCTTTAGTACTTGTAAAACACAATCTCATCTTTTATAACTAGCTGCCCGATGTATTTTTAAACAAGACAACACCTAATATGACAACGTATTAATGTAGATTCAATATATAAAGAACTAAAAATTTTCTAATATTAAAATAATATGGAAGTAATATCTTCTAAAAGAAATCGTTATAAAAGAAATTTATACAAAAAGATTAAAAGACAACCACAACAAAATCTATACAGCTAATAAATGACAAAATTGTAATAGTTCTTGCAACACTTAAGATCTTGCTCTAAATAGATCTATAAATTTTAAACCTTTCAAATCTTAATGTAATATCCTTTGCCACCAAAGCTTGCATCCTACCATCTCCTCATCTTTGATTTATGGCAATCAATTGTGCAAAATATTTCCATTCTAGCAATTCAATATTGTATTGAAAGTCACATTTTTCTTGGAAGTGACTGTATTTATGGTTTTACAATTTTTTCGAGTATAACATAAATACTTTTGACCAAGAGAACTCAATCAATGTTTGAGAGATTATTATGGTAATATTCATAATACTATTTAGATTATATAGGTATTATTCATATATTGTATATATTAACTAAATGTTTATATTACAAGTTTTTATTCATTGTAAATCTAGTGTCAATATAAATGAATAAAGAATAGGAAAATGATTTTAAAAATATTTCTTAATGAAGAAAAAAATGATATTATGAACACATATCTAAAAAAGAATTAAAATTATTTTCCACTTTTTTGAAGAACCAAATAAATTCTTAAAACTCTTCTTAAATTTTCTTAAGATACACATAACTTTTTTCAACAAAAATTTTCAACTATTCAAAATTATTATTTTTATCTTTTCAATTAAAAGTATAAATAGAGACAAAAAACAAAAAAAATGAGATGTGTAGTTTCTTTTATTACAACACGTTTCAAACTCAAAACTGAATACACCGTCTTGCACTCGGCCCCACAAAAGCCAACACCCATGGCCCCACATCCCAAAATTGTCGCTTTTCAAGCCATGGGCACGGAACAAAATGATCTAGCAAATACTATGCAAAGGGGAAGAAGTGTGTGCGAAGAGACGATGGCGATGGAGGTGGCCCAGTTTGATGACCAAACTCGGTGGCAGTGAAGCAGCGACACTGCATTGGTATTGCAAGGTTCTGTATTATCTAGAAAAGATGATGAGGGGCAGTGGTATCTTTGGATTTGAGTTTGACACAAATATGGCTTTTGTTTTGTAAGTGAAACGTTGAGTTCTGCTCTGCAATTGTGTATTTGCCACGGTTAATAACAGACGAAGAATATTTCTGCAGAGTTGAAAAATGGATCTTCCTCTGGAAGATTTGTTAGTTTTTGTCTGTTTTCTATCATGTTGCGCTTTTGTTTTCAGTCTCACCTCGTGCCCTTGATAAGTGGGATATTGTTGAACCTCATCGGGTTTGTTCTGATTCAATTGTACTCTTGTTTTCGTAACAGCACGTGAGAGAGAGTGGTGATCTCAAGGGGTTGTACTTGGGCTTCTTTGTATGAGATCATCGGGTAGAAAACATTGCTTATCTAGTCGAGGTTTCTACCGTTCTTTCTAGCAGGAACAAGGGATCTGGGGTTCCCTCTGGTAGCCAGTTCCACCTCGGTGCCTGGAATTTGTAAAAGGTCGCCGAAGTTCGAGAATCGCATTTTTCGACTTACTGCAGAGCGGCAACGCGATATGGCAGACAACAGGGAGGAACAGATTCCTGTTTTTACTTCCCTTTCAGAGATTTATGGCGAAGGTCCCTTGTTAGAGGAAGCGGTGCGCCGGTATGAAAACCTGAAGCAGCAATTTGTGCAACATTACGGTCGTCAGCCTGAGCTGTTTGCTCGTGCTCCAGGTTCGCTGAACCCAATCCTATCATTTAGTGCTTTCACTTACAGTAAGAGCAACATCGCACATTATTATGCCCTTCATGAAAGCGAACCAATTTTCTAACATAGTCTGAATTTCCCCCGGACAACATGCGAAGTGAGGTGGTTGCATTATGATTAGTAGGTAAACTTTTCATCAATTTGGGCTTCATTGTTTGATTGCAGTCAACCTAGTTTTAGGTTTCGGAGAGGCAAAACTCATTTATAAGTATTTTCGATGTTAAGTCCGAAGGGATGTAGTTTCATTTGTAAGATGCTTTACGAGTTCCCATCCAGTGCATACTTTGCTGAAAATTCGCGTGATTGTTTCAGGGAGGGTGAATCTTATAGGAGAGCATATTGACTACGAAGGTTACTCAGTGCTTCCAATGGCAATTCGTCAGGATACAGTTGTTGCTATTGGTAAGAGAGAGGAAGAATACTCGATGTTGCATATTGCAAACGTCGACTCATTCGAATTCAAAGCTTGCAAGTTTCCAGCCGACCCATCGCAGGTTACTTTGCCGAATTCATCATCTTAATTCAATTTGGTTTTGAAGCGCTCTCTGAGAGTAGGGAGCTTTCATAGAGGGTGGGTAGTTGTGAATTTTCCTGCTAGAGATAATCCAATGCGTGTGGTGACTCACTTCAAAGTTTCTTACAGATGTAACGTTTTCTAATTGTGAGATTGTGGTTTGTTTGAACAGGAAGTAGATAGAGATAATCATCTGTGGGCAAATTACTGCATATGCGGGTATTGATTTGTTCTCTTTGATACGCGTAGTGGATCACTGTTCACCTTGGTTCTATTTATAGAAATATTTGAATACAACAGTAACAAAGTAGACTCCTAGATTGTAGTCCTTATTCTTTTGTTTCGAAATGATCTCATTCAAATTGGTTGATGTACAAACTGATTTGAACTTCTAAGTCTACAATGTTTTCTGTGTTGTTTCATGCTAGGACCTCGTAAGTTAAGTAACTTGAGTTCTGAAAATCGTGCCTCTTTACTTCCTGCAGATATAAGGGAGTGTTTGAGCACCTTGCGTCCAAAGGAGAACTTATTGGACCCACCTGCGGACTAAATGTTCTAGTTCACGGCACAGTTCCAATTGGTCAGTCTCTCTGCTCAAGCTCTTGAACTGATTCTCTACCCTCAAATAAATCCCAGCAGAGGAGCATCCATTTGCATTATATCCTCTGAAAGTGTTTAATGAACTATTTCTCCCTATTACCTTTGCCTTTTGTTCAACTGCTCAATATGGAAGTATCACAAAATTTCTTGAATTTTGTGTGCACAAATCATACAAAGGTAATGATCATGCATTCAAATTGGAGGTTGATGGAAGTGCAGAGGCTGGGTTGTCGAGTTCAGTAGCTGTTGTCTGCTCTTCTGCAATTGTACTGTTGGCACCCCTAGATAAATCGAGTTCTAAAACCATTCCTCCATTTCTTTCTTTGTTATCCATGTTTTTTGTTGACATGTCCTCCATGTGCTTACAGGTGCGGGGCTTTCCAGCTCCTCTGCACTCGTATGCGCCACTGTTGTTGCTCTCTCGTCCTTATTCAAGCTAAGCTTCTGCAAGGTATATATAGCAGTTTCGACCAAGTGTGTCTTTTCGACGATCAAAGTTTCTTAAACGCCACTAATATCATACCTGACCTTGTACTGAGCCGAATTCATAATTATTGTGTATGCTTGTTTATGCCATCGTATGTTAACCTTGCGGAGTTTAAGTTATCATCTTCTTAAACTAGAACAATAATCCTAGGTTCTGTTTGTGTGATGTGCAGCACGAGGTGGCAGAATTCAGCTGTGCATGCGAACGTCACATTGGTACCCAATCTGGTGGTATGGATCAGGCTATCTCAGTCATGGCAATGCCTGGGGTAGCTAAGTTGATAGGCTTCAATCCCATCCGAGCAAGCGATGTCTTGCTGCCCAAGTCTGGGTCATTTGTGGTTGCAAATTCCCTCACGGAGTCAAAGAAAGCAGTGACTGCATCCACAAACTATAATAATCGCGTTGTAGAGTGTCGCTTGGCCGCCGTAAGATTCTTAAATGCCTGTTTTATTTAAGTGCGTCTTCGTAAGTAGCCTATGCTCATCATTTTCTCCCTGCAATTAAAATGGCCATCTGCCCAATTCTTGAGCTTTGATTTTTTTTTTTTTTTTTTTTTTTTTTTTTTACTAGCATTTAGTGCAGGATTGTTGTGCAAAGATTATAAAAACTAAATCAACACGCAGATGGTTCTGGCTGTAAAACTTGGGATGCCATCAGAGGAGGCTTGCACGTCAGTGAACACGCTCTCAGATGTGGAGGGCCTCTGTGTCAAATATGCCTCTGCTCATGGGTCATCCAGCCCTGTTGTTGCTGTTGAGGTAATTGAGGCTTTTCTTTAGAATTTGCCGAAATGAATTTCGACATTGTTACCTCTTTCCAACATTCTTGTGCTCACTTCAGATGAAATTTTGACAAACTCTTGCAGAAACTCTTGCATGAAGCTCCATACAACACTGAAGAAATTGAAGAATGCCTAAAAGAGAAATTAACTACTATTATGAAAAAGTCTCCTACTACCCTTGCCGTGTTAGCTGCTGCTTCCCTGTTCAAGCTTTACCAGGTCAGCTTCTTCATAACCCCACCACATGAAGAGTTTTAGAAAAAAAAAAAAAAAAAAAAAAAAAAAAAATGTCTTCTGAGTTCTCATGGAAGGGTGAAAGTAACTGAAATTTCTGATTTTTCATTTGCGTAAATGCCTCGAAAACATTTAATAGTTATATTATGCTTCTCATGCGGGGGTAAAATTCTGGGCGGATGCACCAGAGGGCCAAGCATGTATACACTGAAGCCAAGCGGGTACACGATTTTCGAGGAGCAGCTGTGCAATCAGACGGGTATTGTAGAATTACAGTAGAAAACATTTTATGCATGTAAATTTAGAAGCCCTCGTAGTAAACAACTTATACTTCAAAGGCATAAACGTGTAGTTTCAGCAATTTCAGCTATGCAATGAATAAGGTAAGGAACATCTGCAGCATAGAGCATTCCTTTTTCTGTTTTTTTTTTTTTTTTTTTTTTTTTTTTTTTTTGGTATGCCTAGTAAATACTTATCTTTTGCGTCAACTTCTCTGCCTAACACGAATGTTCACCTTGAATTTTATGTAGAGAGGAGTCGGTGATGAAGAGGTTAGGAGACCTCATGAATGAGAGCCATGCCAGCTGCAGCCTTTTGTATGAATGCAGGTTCGTTCGCCTCTCTTTTGCAGGACATTGTAATTTGCATTTTGTGTTTAATCCTCAAAATAAATTTTCATGATGTGTTACAAACTTGCTCTATGTATTATTTCAGCTGTCCTGAGCTGGAGAACTTGGTTGGGATTTGCCGACACAATGGTGCAATTGGAGCCCGGTTAACTGGAGCTGGCTGGGGTGGCTGTGTTGTTGCCCTAGTAAAAGAAGAAGAAGCTAACTCTTTCATCTCTGTTCTCAAGGTATTGAAATTTGGTTTTGTGGCCTGATTGTAGAACTAAGGAAACTGACTAAGCTCCAGAGTTCAAAAGCAATGCATATTTTCCTGTTAATACATGAATGAGAAGAGTTCATGAACGTGTTGAGATTATGCATATGTTCTTAACTTGGTCTGTTTGATTTTTGACGATTTTTTTTGTGCAGGATTCTTATTACCGACCTTTGGTTCAAAGTGGCAAAATCAAAGAGGAAGATTTGGATTCATACGTCTTTGCATCAAAACCATCTGGGGGTGCTGCAGCTTTCAAACTATAGCTATCATCATCAGGTCGTAGATGTATGTAACGATTCATCTGGGTTGCAGGTGGCAATAATACTTGAGTTGAGAACATGTCAATTACTTGGACACACATGTAGAAAATGTAGAGTTAAGATCATCCATTGATAATGTGATCATGCCGATACTTTTGGCCTGCAGTCGGGCACTTCCGGAACCGCTCAACATCTCCACCATCTGCCACAGAGAAGACCGCGAAACTGGATTTGGGAGCGAGAAAAACAAAGCCAGTTTCAAGACTTATTCCTACTAGATCGACGTCGAAACCGTCCAGAAACAATTGATCTGTCACCATTGGTCTTTTTCCCTTGTCACCAAACTATGTCCTCAAAAACCACATCCTTTCCATTCTCAACGCTATCGTACGAAGCCCTCAACATCAAGCGATCTCCGATTCATCTACCCCAAACGCGATCGTCTGCTACGTCTGTGAAGTGCCCTCCCTACTCGTACCCTCTCGCCATGTATCCAAAAATGCTAGCAACTAGAGGCTGATGTATTATCCCTGTAGTCCACAAAATGCGCTAGGTCAAAATCTTCTAGCTTTGGATAGTATTCCTCGTACATCAGCAGTCAAATTGAGAAGGTTCAATCTTTGGCTCTTTTGTTCTCACGTATACTTGTGGAGATGCACATGAACATGCTGCTTTAACACACTCGAATTCGATAGCCGCAACACCTAAATAAGGGTGATCTTGACACTCGAATCTTTGAATGTCAAAAGTCCAGAAATCGCCATTAACCAGACGGACTCATACAGTAACTGTCTACAAAAGGATTCCACAAGAAGACAGAAGTGATACATATTGCTGTATTTGTTAATTTGCGAACGTGAATTTGACGATAGAAACTGCAGATGTGCCCAATTTCGTTGCTAGCACAGAGGATAATGACAGCAAATGCCATAGTCAAACAAATGATGGCATCATCATCGAAGACAGAGTAACTCAATGTGACAGTGTGACAATTCAGGCTATAAACAAAACCGCATGGTGGGAATTTGTGATATTAGAGAGCCGATTGAAATGGACAAAAAACGTTGTCCAGTATGTATTCTTACTACGAGGAACTAAAAGATAAGATGTCCTGTTTTACAAGTGAATGAGAGGTCATCACAATGGATTGACAAATACATACCCAAGCTCAGGAACCTCCGAACGTGCTTCTACGAATTGTATAAAACCAGAAAGTCTAGGCAGTATCAACGGATAAGAACCCTAACCCTACACGGTCATCTTCTCCGACTCCTTGCGCAAGGCGTTGGCTCTAATCAAACTCCCGATTGTGTTGATTGCCAACTTGATGTCGTCCAATGGGTTTCCAGGCACCACCACCTTGTACAGATAGCTGTCGAACGTCATCTTCTGCACATAGTCATCGGCGCACATCTCCACGAACGCCTCTCGGGCAGGGTTCGATCTGTAGAAAACCTTCTGAAGAATGTCCAACACCTTATATGTGGCCCAGTACTTCTTATCCCACTTTTCCAGGTATGTTCTCAAGTCTGATTCGTCCACCATGCGAGTACCATTGGCGGATCCCTCCACGATCGCCTCAGCACACATGCGCCCGGACTTGGCAGCGAAGTAAATTCCCTCCCCAGAGCACTTGGTAACATACCCTGCCGCATCCCCGATCAACGCCACCCGGTTACTCGCCCTGCGAGGCCTAGGGTGCTCTGGAATTGGATGAGCCTCTACTCTAATAATCTTCCCTCCAGCAATCTTGTCCTTTGCCCGGTTCCTCGTCGCCGTCTGGTATTTCTTGATGGCTGGCTTGTTGATCACCGTTCCAGTTCCAACCGCAACATGGTCACACTTGGGGAACACCCAACCGTAGAAATCTGGCGACACGTCGTCGCCCACATACATCTCTGCCAAATTCTCGTAGTACTCCATCTTGTCGTCAGGAATTTTAATCCTCTCCTGGAAAGCGATGGCGTAGTCGTACTCACCCGCATCGATATCCTTGGCAACCCTGCTGTTGGCACCATCAGCTCCAATCACGGCGTCCACCTCCAACACGCCAGGTGTACCCACCTTCGAAGCCCCGTCGAAATTCGTGTAATGCAATTTGTAGGGGGTGTTTTCGTCCTTGGGCACGTCCATCCTCAAAAAAAGCCCGTTGATGATAGTCGCCCCATTCTTCACCGCGCGCTCCCGCAAGAACGAGTCCAACACCTCCCTCCTCACCATGCCAATGTACTCGTCGTCGTTCAATGTCTTACCCACATCCACAGCCACATTGGAAGGCGAAATCATCTTCATCTTAGTCACCTTGCGGTCAATAATTTCAGGCGGCAGGTCGAACTCCCCAACCATGCACAGCGGGATAGCCCCTCCGCACGGCTTCGCATTGTCCAACTTCCGCTCGATCAGAAACGTCTCAATTCCGCCCTTCGCCAGCGTCTCGGCAGCGCACCCACCCGCAGGGCCGCCTCCCACAACTGCCACTCGCAGCTTCCGCCCTTCAATCTTCTTACTCCCCCTCGCAGCATACACCCGGAGAGGCTGGTATCCAGCATCATCTCCCCCACTGCTGCTCCTCGCCACCTTCAGGCTCTCCACGGGGGACGCTACTAAACCACCGCTCAATCCTCGCAACCCCTCGAACGCCCTGAGACTCACCCTCCCGGTCGCAACAACAAATCCCGCACTTCGAGCATTACTACTAGCACGGGGAGCTAATGCAGGGACGGACTCCCCGTAAGAAGAAGAAGCAGCAGCAGCAGCACGAGAGGTGCATGCGAAGGAAGAAGTGGAAGCAGTGAGAGCAACCTGGAGGGAGGCCATGGCGTGAGGGTTGGCTGCCACAGCTCAAGCTTCACTCAGAGTGCAACAACAACATCTGCAGCCGCAAGAGGGAATAGAAGATGAGTCTCGGAGATAGACATTGCGATGAGCCCTCTCGTGAATGAATTGGACCGGGCTTATGTCCCTCCGGGTACCTCTCGTGTATCAATCCACGGTTGTGCACGAGGAAATGAGTTTCGGAGATCGACACGGCGATGGGCCCTCATTTGAAAGGATTTCGACTCCGGTAAATCGTCCTCCCGGTATCACGAGTGTATCAATTCACTGTTAGCATGGCCTGAAGGACCTTTTGACTTGGATCTGTTTCCAAATCCGATCATTCTATTCTAATTACATATATAACTATTTAATATAGTATAAAATAGTTCTATGCTTGGTTATATAGTATATTTCTGTTTCTTTTGTTGCAATGTAAGAAAAGTAATCAGAATAAAAGAACTTGGTTACTTTTCTTACCATGCAAGAAAAGAAACAAAAATTTAGATTTTGAGTAAATTTCAGAAGGATAACGAAACAACTTGTTTCTTTTTAATTGAATTGGATTTTATAGAACCTTGTTGCCTTCTCACCCTTGTTATAGTCAACCTCATTAAAGTCAACTTTAGGTTATAGTCAACTCATTTCACTGGTCCGTCATCTACACTATATTACACATTATATAGGCAACTACACTATATTATCAATAGTTTTTTTCAATATCAAAGAGGTTGACTATAATGAGAGTTGATTGTAGATGGTTTTGCATAAATTTTTGTTAATATTTTAATCTTAAAAGCCCATTTTAATGACAATCTAGAATATTAAATAGGTTCATACAAACTAAGTAACTATAAATAAATAAAATTTTAACATATTATAAATAATTTTTAGAATTCAATAATTTTTTATTTTTCATAATTTTTTGAAATTTTAAAGTAAAAATCTAATGTGAATAAATGAATTATTAAGAAATAGTATTTATTTTTTATTTTAATTTTTATGAAAAAAAAAGTTAAGATGAGATTTAATACTTATAATGATTTGAAAATAATATTTAGTGATTCTTGAATATTTTTGAATATAAAATTACTATTAATACATAATTTTTTATTTTAAGTTATATTTGAATATTTTAGTTCACAACATATTTTTTGATAAGATTATTAATATAAAAAGTAATTCAAATGTATTAAGAATATATATATATATATATATATATTTTTAAAAATCTTCTTTCTAATTTTAATCATTATAATAATTTTATATTTAAAAAAATACAAAACAATGAAAAAAACAAAACTTTAGCTATAATTATTATGACAAGTTATATATCAAAGTAGTGAATTAACAATCTATCAAAGACATGAACTAGAAAAAGATGCATAAATTTGAAAAATTTGTGTCAAAAGAAAAGTGACAAAATAAAAATAAAGTAGTATGTATATTAAAAAGAAACTAGAATGGCTATTGCCAAAAGACAAAGAAACTAAAGATTCTTTGAATCTAGATTAGAAGCAAGAAATAAATTGACAAGAGTGAAGAAGACTTCACTCTTGCCTCTATATATACTATCTAACTAGGAGTTACGTGACTATGTTCTACAAGACCTCTAATATGTGTTGACTTTGCAGGATACATGTCTTAGCTTACAAGGCAAGTTTTTTATATATGTGCTACATAGTTAGCTTAATCTTCAAGCTACTAATATGTGTGGCACATAGCTAATTTTTTGACCACGTTTCTAACCTAAAAAATCAATTATAAATATGTATAAAGTCAAAGAAGCATCTATGTACCTTCTAAGAAGCTTCTATAGAAGATATTATAAAATTAATCTATTTTTATTTACTTTTATTTAATCATATAGGTAATTATTGATATATACGTATATATTTGTGACATTTTCCTTCCTTCTAGGAATAAGTTCCACAAAGAGTGGTCAACATATATTGAAGAAATCCGAGATGTAGCAAATTGTATTTGCCACATACTCTAATCTTTGTTTTCTTCAAAATAGTTGATAGAATCTCTCAACCATCAATAGTGTCCTATACTAGGATAAAAAAAACCATCCAGTTATTTCATTGTTGTTGAGACCTTCATAATTTCCTTCAAATAAAACATTTGGAATACTGTCAGGAGTTATTTCTATCTCTAATAAAATCACCAAATATTAGGAGTCTTTTCTAAGGTCATGATACCAAACGCATTATATCTTTCCTTGTATTTGAGGAAGAAGATGTCATTCTTGAAGATCTTCATCTCGATTGCCTTATCTTGAAGGTTGTGACAATCATAATGTCTCAATAAGTAGGTCAGCAAACAAAGATTTTTGAGTCAAATTTGTTGGTTATTGGTTTTTTATTTGTTTAGTGTTACAAATACAAAGCAGCTATAATAAGGATAGAAAGTAGAATGTTATCTTGCGTAGATCTTATTTCTTTTATGCAAAAGATCTTTATCTTGGTTTTGATAGATATCGTTGATGAACAGCCTCCATTTTCTTTATTATATTTGCAAGATTTTTTGTTGGCTCCAATATGCATTCACTAATATCATGTCCATGCCAATGGACAAGATATTCCAATTTATTTTGGTGCCACCTTGAGTCTAGAGCTTCTTCCACTTCAAACTTTCCATTATTATCCACTTTTATAAAAGAGGGTAGAACTTGTCTTTTTCTTAGTATGTTCAAAGTCTTCTATATTTCAAAAAGAGACACGTCAAAGATATAATAGATCTTCATTGACTTCTATAGATATAATCTATAAGCAACTAGATTGATTTGTCCACAAATAAGAGAAGGTTCGAGCCTATGGTAGTCCAACTTATCACAAGGAGAAGTAGACTTGATATTATAATGAAGTAACAATACCTTATCACCTATGTTAAATTGTGGTTGTTCTTTTTGATAGGCATCTGCCTTGATCTTTTGTCATTCTTGAGCTTTTTTTAATTACGCCTTTATTATTTCATGTAGCTTTTACAAATAATTTGCCAAATTTTTTATCATAGGATTATCAACTTTTGAAAAGTCAAAAATATCAAGTTGTGGATGATAACCATAATTGATAATAAAAGGTATTTGTTGCATAGAAGAATGTATTGTATTATTATAAGTAAATTCTGCTAATGGCAAGATGGTTGTCTAATTGTCTTATCGATAATTGATGGTACACCTTAAGTATTACTTTAAAACTTTGTTTATGCACTCTATCTATCCATTAGTTTGAAGATGAAAGGCTTAAGAAAGTTTTGTGTCCATCTTTAGAATCTTAAAAAGGATCCTCCAAAATCTTGATATAAATTGAGTCCTTCTATTTGATATAATAACTTTTGATAATCCATGATATCAATAGATATTATTAAGGAAAATTTTTACAATTTCTTTACCTGTGATAAATTTTGTGCATAGTATAAAATGTGCCATTTTAGTAAAACAATCTACTATCATTAATATAAAATTATACAAACCTTAGGTTGAAAGATCTATAATAAAATCCATAGAAATAGAAGACCATGGTTATTCTAGAATAGGTAATGATTGAAGAAGTCCATGAAATCTATGACGAGGAGTTTTTAACCTTGAACAAATATCATATGATTGAACAAAGACTTTTACAGCCTTTCACATTTGCGGCCACTAAAACTCTCTGGATATTATCTGCAAAGTCTTATTATAACCAAAATATCTTGCCATTGAAAAGTTAAGACGTGCTTCTTGTACTGGCATATATAGACATGATAGAAAATAAAGTAGATTATTTTTTAATTCAAACTTAGAAGTATCACAAGACTTAGAAGAAGTATTTTTGATATCATGAATAAGAGGATGAAAGGACATATTTGATTGAATTTGTTTGAAAAAAGTTGAATCAACAGTCAATGTTGATTCCATTGCTCAAAGATGAAATTATTTTGGCTTCAATAAAATTGTTCTTTATTGATCAAAAGCTACATCTCTTTCTTTGAGTATAAGTCAATAACGTCTAGAAAAGACATTAGATAAATCTTGTTGTGTTTTTGACCAATAAGTGATATTGAATTTAAATCTTGACATAAAAAAGTTCTAACAAGCTTGGCGATGATTCAAAACACGTGTTGATATGAAATATTTAAGGTTCTTATGATCTGTATATATGGTGACTAGATTGAAAGTGCCTTCTAGATAATGATGCCATTCTTGAAAAGAATCCACAATTATAAGAAGTTCTTTATCATAGATCTCATAGTTAATTTTGGGTGTTGAAAATTTTCTAGAATAAAAACCAACTAGGTATCAAGGACAAGAACTCAATGAAAAAGTAATTCAGATAAGTGAGCCTTCACTCAAAGAAAGGTAACAAAATATAAATAAATAAGTATGTATATTGAAAGAGAAACTGGAATAGCTATTGCCAAAAGACAAGAAAATTAGAGACCCTTGAAACTAGACTAGAAGCAAGAAAAGAGTTGACAAGAGTGAAGAAGGCTTCACTCTTCTCTCTATATATACTATCTAACTAGGGGTATGTGGCAACGTTCTATAGGACCTCCAATAAGTGTTGACTTTGTAGGATACATGCTTTGACTTACAAGAAAAGTTTTTCTACGTGTGGGCCACATTGTTAGCTTGATCTTCAAGCTAACAACATGTGTGGCACATGGCCAACTTGTTGACTATGTTTCTAATCCAAAAAGTCAATTAAAGACACCTATAAAGTCAAATCAGTATCTATGAAGCTTCTAAAAAGCTTCCATATCAAATACTATAGAATTAACTTATTTTTATTTACTTTTACTTACTTCTATCTATTTATATATGTAATTACTGATTTACATGAGTATGTCCATGACATTATCCCCTCCTTCTAGAGATGAGTTCTACGGGGAGCGGTCATCATATGTTGAGGAAATCTATAATGCGACAAATTATATTCGTCGCATATTTTGATCTTTGTTCTCTTCGAAGATGATTGATAGGGCCTCTCAACCATCGATAGTGTCCCATACTAGGGCAAAAAGACCACCCAGTTATTTGATCATTATTGAGGCCTTCATAACTTCCTTCAAATAAAATATTTGGAATACCATCAGGAGTTGTTTCTACCTCTAGTATAATCACCAAACATCAA